ACCCGCCCCTGCGCTCTGAGGCAGGGAACCCCAGCTCCCATGGCTGGCCCTGGCGCTGGGCGCTGGGCACGGGGCCTAGGAGGCCTTCACGTCTGCACTCGACACTCAATGGGAGGAAATATCACCATTTCCTCCAGGTTCTGGAAAGTGTAGAAACTTGGCCAAAGGGCGCGTTCTTCCATGTTGTAAAAACGGACACATACCCTCGCGAGCTCTTATAGGGAAAACTAGGGTCTCCTTTCAGTGGGAAAGGGGTGTGTGTGTCTTTCTCCTGGAGCGGCTGCTGATGTCACTTGTTGCAATTCTGCGCTTGAGGAAGAGGGAGAGCCACTGGGGATTTCATGTGTTAGCACCCACAGCGTGGATTTAACGGGGACCGCACATAATTTCCCGTCCTCCTCCATTCATGGGCACATCTGTCCTCTCTAAGGCCACTGTGCTCACCAAGGCCGTGTCTCTCCATTCGTTTCCACCGGTGAGGGTGGGGGAGAGTGAAGCACGTCTAACACCATCGTTGGAAACATCCAAGTTCAAAAGCAAAGCACCCGCAGGCCCGGAGCGCTGGTGACAGTGCTCAGGTGCGGAGGCTGGTGCGAGGCGGTGGGACGAAATCCCTCCTTGAGAACTTCCCCTCAGAAGGCAACTGTCGGGCCGGCCCCAATGCCGGGAGGGGAGATGGACAGGAAGGAAAAGCCCCGAATCAATCACACCCAAGAGTCGGCAACAGATCCCCCCGAGACGTGAGAGACGGACAGCTGGATGGATGGTGTGGACGCTGAAGAAGCCTTCGTGGGGGGACCAGAGGTCCTGAGGTCAGAGATAGGCCGTGGCTTTGGGAGGCGGGCTGTGGCCAGCTGGTGGTACTCGGGAACGGGATTCCTAACCGTCTCCACTCACTGATGATTTTTTTTTCCAATTCCTCAGTTAAGGGATGACCCCCAGGTATCCTGTGGTATCATTTTTTTCTGAAGACATTTTTCCTAATAGAACGACTCTCCGTAGCTCCCTAACCTATCTCTTTCGGTGGTGATGGCATCAGACTACATGGTCTATCGCCATTGAGGATGGAGTCCTTATACCGTATTTTTTCCCAATGTCTGCAGAATTCCCCACGTCCTATCTGCACTGTGACCTAGTGAGTGTCGTTCTGGCTTGAGGCCGATGCACTCTGACACGCCCGCCTCCTGCCGGGAAGCTAGAGGCATCAGGAGTCAGCCACCGTGTGCTTTCACCGGTAGGTCAACATGTTGACCCGGTAAAACACGTTTTCGTGGCCATTGGAGACGTCCGTCTCTTCTCACGCTCCACCACGCAGCGGATCTCACTAGTTGGTGGGTGCTGGAGATTAGCGTCTCTCCGTGGTGCTCTGCTCAGCCAGGACGTTGAAGAAGGGCTGGAGATGTTTTCGGTTATCACTTCTCGGGGGCACTCCTGGCAGCCAATGGGTGGAGGTCAGAGATGCCGCTCAACATCCTACCACAGGACGGCCTCCCACGACACAACCATCGGTGCATGGGTGGGACCACGTGAAATGGATGGAGAACAAACAGTTCATGGAGAATAACAACTTATGGGGAATTGGCATTCACCATGTCTTCATGATGTCTTCCTAATCGTAAGGTGGCACCAGTTTTATTAATTCAAGTTTATTGTGTCCCTTAGGAATGTTTTACAAGTTCTTGTTGACATTTTACGTGAAGTTCACTCCCCGATGTTTCAGTTTTTCTAGTTTCTAGAACAAGTAGAGCTCTTTCTTCCCGTGTATCTTCTCACTGTGATTTGTATGCGTCAGAGGAATTGACTTCTATACATTAACATGGGGCCCCACTAATTGTTTCTCTAATTTCCTTTCTCTTTTTCCGTCTAACTTTACTGGCTACTGCTGGAACCTAACTCAATTTAATATTTAAAATGCGGATCCCTTTCCACACTGGGCATGCTGTTTCCTTTTGAGCTGAGATTAATCTAGTTTATCAAGTTAGGGAATTCTCCCGCATTTCTCTCTCATTAAAATTTTTTAAATGGTGAATTTTGTCAAATGTCTTTTGGGAATCTGTGGAAATGGAAACAGGAGTTTCCTGCTTAGATGTGCTGAGGGGATGAAGTGTTTTAATCATAGTTCTTAATACTGACCCTCCTTGCGATACTGAAAAAATCCTACACGTGGACAAAGTACATAGTTCTTCTGATGCACTCTGGATTCTGTCTCTAATATCTTATTTAGCTTTCTCTTTCCTAAATATTCTTGAAAGATATTGGCATATTGTTTCCTTTGGGGGAGGGTCCCAATTTGGGGTGGGTTTTGGTTTCATTGTTACCTTGCCTTCAAAAAATAAGAATTAAAGCCCTAGTCGGTTTGGCTCAGTGGATAGAGCGTCAGCCTGTGGACTGAAGGGTCCCGGGTTCAATTCCGGTCAAGGGCACATGCCCAGGTTGTGGGCTCGATCCCCAGAAGGTGGTGTGCAGGAGGCAGCTGATCAATGATTCTCTCTCATCGTTGATGTTTCTATCTCTTTCTCCCTCTCCCTTCCTCTCTGAAATTAATAAAAATATATTTAGAAAAAACGAATTTGGGGGCTTTTGTTCTTGTGGGGAAAATTTAATCAATAAAAATCCAGTGTAAACCAGTAAAAACAGTCATTAGAGTTTAATTTATTAAATGGGATCTTGTGTGTTGGTGCAGTCACCACCACGTATACTTCATTTCTAAAGGAGAAACTAATGCCAGCCAAGCCCAAACTCCTCCCTTAGAATAAAACTTCTATTTGGGGAAAAGAAAAAATCCCGGCTCTGCCACTGACGGGTTGCGAGAGCGTGGATTGGCCAGTGACTCCCCACACCCGCTTCTCCTCCTGCGATGCCTCCTGTAACTATGACCATTAAGGGAAATATCACAACACATTGTGCTGTTATAACTACCAAGTAAAACGGTGCCCATAATGACGTACCACAGCGTTTGGCGCAGAAAGTTAAAATATGACGAGTATTTGCTCGATACCAGCCTCCAGAGAGGGTGGCGACCTGGCTCACGCGTTTGGGGAGTTTTTCTTCCCAACGGCCAGATCTTATCCAAGGGAAAGAAGTGGCCCACTGGTTGCCTGGCAATTCTTTTTCCAAAAGAGCTGCTTCCGGAAGATGCCTGGTGAGGTCATCGCCTCCTTCCAGGCAGGGACCAACAATGACATCAGGCTGGAGTGCAGGGCGTTGTTTTCCTTCAACAAATGTACCTGAGCTTCCACATCAAAGCGAGTTCTTATCTTCAAAGCGGCCACCTGGGGACGCCGCCCTGCCACACGCTGCCAAGTGTGTTTGGATCTCTTCCTTCTAATCGCCTTCCGAGGCTTCCCATCCCTCCCGATGTCTCCATTGGCAACACACTTCTGTCCTGTGGGAGCCTCCATTTTTCTGGAAGCAGATTTAAAACCAACTCTTATACGTCAGATGGACCGCATTGTCGCCTCCGGTAAAAAATGACAATGGTGACCAGAAGGAAACGGCCTTTTGGCGCAGCTTGTAAAATCTCTCAAACGCCTCCGGCCGCTGCACACGTGATCAGAATGAGTGCCTGGCGTTCTGTGTGGTTAACAGGTTTATTTAGCAAATTTTATCCCACGGAGACTCACGGAGACCCTGTACCAAGCCCTGTTCTAGGAACTCCTGCACATATCCGCTCATTTCATGCCAATGCCTCATGAGGCAGGCAGTGTAATTACCCGTATGGTAGAGATGAGGCGATCGAGGCACCGAGAAGTTAAGCACTTTGTCCAGGGACACGGAGCTGGCACGTGGTGGAGCCGGAAATGGAGCCCAGGCGATGCAGTACATGTGCTATCCTTTTCTCAACGGTGCAGGCCGCGTGCAGGACCAGCCATGCGTTCTGGGTTTTGTGAGGTTCTGCAGTTTGAAGTTGGTGAAAGCTACAGTCTCGCTCCATGAGTTTGGTTTTAACCTCAGTGTTGACAAGCAGTGCCTCACCCCTTTTCTCTCCGTCTTCCCACAGCCAGTTACACAAGGAGGGGACGGTGCCCGGGGCAGCTCCCGAGTCTGGCCTGCTTTCCCACACACACCGCCCTTTTCCTCGCCCTCACGCCAGGACTGGTCCTTCTCCCCAGGGTTTCCCTGGCCTCCTTCAGAGCACCCTCCCTCAACTCGCTTTCCCATCGCACCTCTCTGTAGCTCCATCTTTCCTTGTCTTTCCTGATCATCTACTTTTGTGAAATGTTTCCATCACAGCTCACACCCAGCACCATTCTGCATTAGTTTCAGGCACACAGCCCGGTGGCCAGACAATCCTCCATGTCACAGAGTGGTCCCCTGGGGCCTCAGGCACCCGCCTGGCCCCGCTCATGGTCACCACAATCCCACGGGCCAGACGCCCCAGGCTGTACCCCGGGTCCCCACATGCCTGCTCTCGAACCACCAGCCTGTCCTCCACAGCTCGACCTCGCTGTGCTCCTGGGGAAGACAGAGCGAGGAGAGGGGCAGGGGAGGCAGGGAAGCGGCTTGGTTCTCTTTGAAAAAGCGCCGTGTCACCCTCCAGCCACAGGTGCCCTGAACGGGCCCCTCTGCTCTCCTTGCTGGGAAGCAGGAGTTTGCAAAGCAGCCTCGTACCTGTGCCAGGCGCCCGTCGCTGGCCACCCTCTCCACCCCGGCACCAACCCGAGGACACGCGGTTAGGGAAACTGATTTAAAATGGGAAAGGTGACACCAGGACTTGTGTATTTCAGGATAAAAGGAGAATACAGGAGGAAATCTCCGAGAAGCGCCTGAAGATAGAGGAGGAGAAGCTGCAGCACCAGCACCTGAAGGTAACGTGTCTTTCCTTCCTCCCAGCGGCTTTGTCCTCAGGGCCCTCCTGGCACTTGGGTTTCAACAGGAAATTGCGTTAGGAAGAAAGACAGCCAGCACAGCCCTCCTAGCACCCTCCCAGCACCCTCCCAGCACCCTCCTAACACCCTCTAGCACCCTCCTAGCACCCTCCTAGCACCCTCCCGGCACCCTCCTAACACCCTCCTAACACCCTCCCAGCACCCTCCTAGCACCCTCCTAACACCCTCTAGCACCCTCCTAGCACCCTCCTAGCACCCTCCCGGCACCCTCCTAACACCCTCCTAACACCCTCCCAGCACCCTCCTAGCACCCTCCTAACACCCTCTAGCACCCTCCTAGCACCCTCCTAGCACCCTCCCGGCACCCTCCTAACACCCTCCTAACACCCTCCCAGCACCCTCCTAGCACCCTCCTAACACCCTCTAGCACCCTCCTAGCACCCTCCTAGCACCCTCCCGGCACCCTCCTAACACCCTCCTAACACCCTCCCAGCACCCTCCTAGCACCCTCCTAACACCCTCTAGCACCCTCCTAGCACCCTCCTAGCACCCTCCCGGCACCCTCCTAACACCCTCCTAACACCCTCCCAGCACCCTCCTAGCACCCTCCTAACACCCTCTAGCACCCTCCTAGCACCCTCCTAGCACCCTCCCGGCACCCTCCTAACACCCTCCTAACACCCTCCCAGCACCCTCCTAGCACCCTCCTAACACCCTCTAGCACCCTCCTAGCACCCTCCTAGCACCCTCCCGGCACCCTCCTAACACCCTCCTAACACCCTCCCAGCACCCTCCTAGCACCCTCCTAACACCCTCTAGCACCCTCCTAGCACCCTCCTAGCACCCTCCCGGCACCCTCCTAACACCCTCCTAACACCCTCCCAGCACCCTCCTAGCACCCTCCTAACACCCTCTAGCACCCTCCTAGCACCCTCCTAGCACCCTCCCGGCACCCTCCTAACACCCTCCTAACACCCTCCCAGCACCCTCCTAGCACCCTCCTAACACCCTCTAGCACCCTCCTAGCACCCTCCTAGCACCCTCCCGGCACCCTCCTAACACCCTCCTAACACCCTCCCAGCACCCTCCTAGCACCCTCCCAGCACCCTCCCAGCACCCACCCGGCACCCACCCGGCACCCTCCCAGCACCCTCTTAACACCCTCCTAGCACCCTCCCAGTACCCTCCCAGCACCCACCCGACACCCTCCTAGCACCGTCCTAACACCCTCCCGGCACCCTCCCAGCACCCTCCTAGCACCCTCCCAGCACCCTCCTAGCACCCTCCTAGCACCCTCCCGGCACCCTCCTAACACCCTCCTAACACCCTCCCAGCACCCTCCTAGCACCCTCCCAGCACCCTCCCAGCACCCTCCCAGCACCCTCCTGGCCTCAGAGAGGCCGACAAGCAGTGACGTCCGCCTTCCCGGCAGCAGGTGCAGAACTGAGCCTGCATTCTCACTGGTCGGCCTTTACTCCTGAGTGTCCTCAGGTGCCTGGACACGGGAGGGAGGCTTCAGCCCTGGCATCCAGTTCTCTCCTTCCAAGCTTACAGGAGGATTACACTTCTGGCTCCTTGGCAGTTAAGCAAGGTCATGTGACTAGTTCTGAGCAATTGGTTGTGAGCAGAAGTGATGTGACATGTGTCACTTCCAAGGCGAAGCACTTATTAGCTGGTTTGAGATCTAGAGCTCTCTTCTCTTGCCATGGAAAACCTAGAAATGCCACCGGAGATGAAAGTAGCCTGGAATGCTGAGCCGCCACATGGGAGCCCCTGGCAAAATACCACGTGCGGGCGCACATGTACAGTGCGATTGAAACTTCGTGGCCCATGCGCAGAAGTCGGTATTTTGTGGAAGAGCCACACTCCAGGGGCCAGCGAGCCGCAGTTTGCTGACCCCTGCCCTACTAGAATCGGCCTATATTCATGGGGCCCACACCCCGAGGTCAGAGAGGCCCGTTCAGCTCAGCCCATCTTTCTGGTGGAGCAAGGGCCACCTCTGAGCAGACACGTCGCTGGAGACTCCAGGGCCCTGGTGCTCGGGATTCTGTGTGTCTTTGCTCCCATACAAACTGGCGTGTCCGCCTCTGGCGGGTCGGTGGGAGGCAGGGCTGGCCTGCTACCCCAGGGTGTCCACTGAGTTATCGAGCAGCGGACACAGCCAGGAAATGCAGGGTGTACTCCCGGGAAAACCAAGGGAATGAGAACCAGTTTTACCAAGTTATTTCACTGCAACTCGACCGAAGTCAGAAGTCAAACCTACAACAGTTTTTGAGATGGGCCATTTCTAACTCCAAAATCAGTGCTGCGGGTCGCTGACTCTCCCTCTCTCCCTCTCCCTCAGAGAGAGGAGAGAGAGAGAGAGAAGAGAGAAACATCGATCAGTTGCCTCCCATCCGCACCCAGACAGGGGACGGAACCTGCAAGCGGGGCCTGTGCGCTGACCAGGAGTAGAGCCAGCAACCTCTCTGTGTGCGGGACGGCGCTCAGCCAACTGAGCCACACCGGCCGGGACAGTAACGATTTCTTAAACACCTACTATGTGCCAGGCACTAAGCTGGACGCTCGCCAAAGCTTCCAAAGAGTATAAAACGAAGTCCGGCCTGTACCCTCACCGTGGAAGCTGCCACGCAACCTGTGAGGCATTTGTGCCGCCATGAGACTGCCTGGGAGGCCGAGGGGCGGGAGGAAAGGGCGTCTGGTGAGCAGGCTCATCTCCCAGCTCTGCGGAGAGGGCTGGCTGACCCAGCGGCCACCGGGCACCCCGCCAGAGCACAGCTCAGGAATGTGGGCGAGCATTTGAAAACCTATCCCGGACAGGCACACCCCGCCCAGAGCGCGCTGGCCTCCGCGCGACCAGTGTCCCTTTCACTGGCTTCTTCACCGCTTGTCCCCGTGCCCGGGACACCCACCCCACCTCGCTGACCATGGGCCTGGTCAGTCCGCTCCAGCCACCACCCTAAGCGCCGCAGGTGCACACACAGGAAGCGCACTCGTTTCAAAGAGCTGCAGGCACTCACTCCCAGCCCTTCGCTCCAGGTCCTGCAAACACCCCGACCGCGAGCTGGGCGGGCGGCTTTCCCGGGATGTTGTTAGTGTCCTGACACCCGGGCCTGCCCTGCGGGTCATCTTACCAAGCATCCTGGTCAGAGTCTCAAGCCACGGAGACACATAAAATACACCAAACCTAGAAAATGTCTCTTTTCTGGGAGTCCATCGAATTCATGGCTTGAAAAACAAATTGATTCCCAACGTCTGTGCCATGATGTGTAGGACGTAGAAGTGCTTCGGGAAACCTTTCCCTAAAACACTGCCCAGCCCGACCGGCGTGGCTCAGTGGTTGAGCATTGACCTATGAGCCAGGAGGTCATGGTTGGATTCCCGGTAAGGGCACATGTCCAGGTTTTGGGTTGCGTCCCCAGTTGGGGGTGTGCAGGAGGCAGCCCATCAATGGTTCTCTCTCATCACTGATGTTTCTATCGCCCTCTCTCCCTCTCTCTCTCTGAAAGTATATATATATTTTTTTTTAAAAAAAACTGCCCAAATTAACCGGAAAATATAAGCAAATATAATTCTTTAACTGCCAAAATGTCTGACTCCCGTACCACTTACATTTTCACGTAGTTAATATGCCTTTGATTCTGGATGTTACTGTGAAATAGAGCCTATATGTTCATTAACCTCCTATGCTTAAGTCTAACTCGTGACATAAAGCAAAGTAACTGGTTTTATTACTAGAATATGGCACCGCGTCATTCTGATTGCACATCCAAACGATAGGCTTTCCGTTTAGCTGCGACGAGCTCTCTGCCAGGGGAAATGGCGAGGTTGGGTGACGCACCACGTTTTATGCGGCTAAAAGGAAAATCCCTCTCATTCCCCGCCAGGCTGAGCGCCAAGAAGGCAGCCCCTCGCTGCCGTAATCACGCCACAAGGCTTGCTCTCCGTGGACCCCCAGCGTGACGGGCCAGCCC